GAAGGGGCTGAGAAATTAGGGTACGCTCGGTTGCCTCCCGTCGAGGATGCCATCGCGGCTCATCTGGCGTCTTCTCCTGGCTGGAAGACCGCCCAACTGCCTTCCAGACCATGTCGCGCTACTGCCCACATGGCTGAGAAGGCTTACACTTCTGCTGGACATGCAGCATCTGCCCTCCATACGATGGCAATTCTGCAGGTTTTCCAGACGCGACTCCTAGGGTCCCTGGATGAGGGAAGCCCGGACCCTGAGTTGCTCAGGAAACTGCGCACGGCGGCAGATCTCGCTCTGGCGGCGTCTAAGAAGGTCGCTCAGGGAATCGGCCGCAATATGGGCAGTCTTGTGGCCCTGCATCGCCATCTGTGGCTAACGCTGTCGGGGATGCGCGATACTGACAAAAGGCAGTTCCTGGACGCTCCGGTAAGCCCCACGGGCCTTTTCGGTGTTGCGGTGGAATCGTTATCCGACAAGTACGCAGAGACCGTCAAGCAGTCTAGAATGATGCCGCATCTGCTGCCGAAACGGTCTCAAGCCCCCCCCCGGCGGCGAGATCCAGATCTTCCTCTGCGCAGCACCCAGCGGGACCTACCAGACGCGCGCCTCCGAGCGCGGCAGAACGTCGCGAGCCAGAGCCCCCCTTCCGCCAGAGGCAGTTCAGGAAGCAGCCCCGCTTCGGTGCGAAGCCGGCCTCTAGTAGCCAAGGACGCCCGGCGGGCAAAAAAGAGCGGCATTCCTGATGCGTGTGTCAGGGAGGAGAGAGTCCTTGTGCCCCGTGCGTGCCCTGCGTGCTTATGTGAACAGAACTAGCCATTTTCGTACTTCAGAGCAGCTCTTCGTCTGCTACGCGGGTGCCAAGAAAGGCGGCGCGCTGTCGAAACAGAGGCTATCACACTGGATAGTGGAGGCTGTGCGACTGGCTTATACTTCTCGGGGAGCTGTTTGCCCTATAGGGGTGCACGCCCACTCCACTAGGAGTTTGGCGTCATCATGGGCGTGGGCGAAAGGCATGTCTATCCAGGACATTTGTTTCGCGGCAGGCTGGTCGTCGCGTAATACGTTTGCGAGATTCTATAACTTGAATATTCCTTCATTCACACCACATGTACTGTCAGTACAGGGAGAGAAAGCTGAGCTGTCATTGGACTAGGCTAGACATGCCCCTAATGGCGCACACTCTAGCCGCGGTTCCGACTAAGCGTGAGTTATTAGCAATATAAAGCTATCTGTTCTCTATATTGTGTCCTTATTATTATGCCCGCATTCATAAGCCGGCAGTGTATTCCTAAGCACCAATCACCTTGCTGCAATTCCCCATTCATTCAGTTCAGCATTGCTTAACTGTGTGGGAGGGGCCACGTTGGTGCGGTTGCCGACTTGGCTCTGTGCCAAGAGGTGGTTTCAACCAGGTCCGGTGGCGGTTTCCTGAGCTGTATAGGGATTAGCGCTTGTGCTATCCTCAGCTCGTTCTAGCTGGGCGGGGTTTTTCCCACGCGGCGGGGGTTTTATTGCTCCCCATACGTAATGTCGAGAGACCGACTCGATAAGGGAACGTCTCTGGTTACTCACGTAACCGTAGTTCCCTGAGAGGAGGGAACGAGACATTACGTAACCTGACGTGTGGGAAGGGCTCACAGTTCCTTACTCTCGTTCAGCTAAGATTCTGAGGTTTTTGGCGCCCGCCGTCACCTATATTGAGCAGTGTCAGCCAATCAGGTGATGGCGGGACTGCCATTGGCTATTTGCAAGCAAAAGAGTTATTCTATCAGACTTCATGATTCGAGGAAAATGGATTTCCCCATACGTAATGTCTCGTTCCCTCCTCTCAGGGAACTACGGTTACGTGAGTAACCAGAGACGTTTCACACGCTCACACGCCACACCCCCGGTTTCTCACGCTAAATTGTCAACCCGGTCGGTCAAATGCCTGAAAGATGAGTTTATCTATAGATCTCTACCTGTTGAGCCACTCGTGATCGACAAGTTATACCGCAAATTAGTTCAAATCTCCCGGAATCTAGAGCGAGCGCGCACGCGAGACAGAGACTGTGCTCCAACGCGCGCGGACGGCAGAGAGAGAAAGCGAGCGAGAGACCTTGCGTGTGCAGGGAGCATCGAACCCCCCATCGAAAAAAGAATGCCTCTCTCTAACCTCTCTAATTCGCTAGAGTAGTAGCGAATTATCAATCTGGTAGCTAGTAAACAATATTCTAGTTTTTGATGGTTAGCTATCGCTAGTATTCTCGTTCTGATTTGAACTTTGCAATCGATGAAATGCCAATAGCAAATGTTTGACCTAAAAAGTGTAGTCTACTCAACATGTACAAAGAAAGGAGGAAGATTATTAATAAAATCATATTTTAGGATACCTAACATGTCTGTGATATTTGTTTATTTGTCTTGCCTCAAGCTATAATGCAAATCGATTTGTAAAATTTGCAGATTCATTTATGGTAGCTTGATATTATAATATTGACGAAATATGGTTATTATCAACCACTCAAACATTGCATTGAAGTATCATATAGATTCAGTAAAACGGTAACCAATAGACTAGGCTACTATAATGACGCTGGCTTGTAAACGTGAGCATCGCGATCATTTGTCGTTAGAAAAAAAAAAATAAAACCCATGAAATTATATTCATATGACATGCTGAAATATATGCCACTGTACCTGAGATGAAGACATTTCACACGCGACGCAAGCAGAACACCTGCATGTGACCTCCTCCTACAGTGTTCAGGGCTATCATGGTTGTCAACAATTGCACGTGCATGTAGGATGACAGAGTTTACGACAGTAGTAGAGGACAATACTGTTTCCCAACTGTAGGGGGACCCCGAGAGCAAAAGTTATCTGTTGTTACTTTAATAATAACTTTGAATACTCCATTGAGCCTGATATTATCTTGTGTTCTTGTGCCTTATGTGATTCAAGTTCAGGTGTCTGAAGTAGCCAAACTAAAAATCTCTCATGCTCATCTTATAATAACAGTGAACTGGTCTGTTAACTTTTGCAGGCGGAGCATTCACCTTCTTTGCCCCTCTCTGGTGGAATGAGCTGCCAACATCTTCCGAGACCATCACATCCTTCAAGAAGCAACTGAAGATACATCTCTTTTACAAGCACTAAAAGGGATAGTTTACCCAAAAACCACTCACCCTCATGTCGTTTCAAATCCATAAGAATTTTGTTCATCTTCGAAACAAAAATTAAGGTAATTTCAATAAATATTTTAATTTAATTTTATCTTTAGATCCAAAAGAGTGATCAAGCCATTGTAAAACTTATCCAAATGAATCAAGTGGTTTAATCCAAGTCTTCTGCAGAGGTAATTGACACATACACAGAGTGCTTCAAATATGGTAAACGGAAGCTCAAACATGCTTGCTTGACACGGCAGACCAAACCTCATAGGTTCTTGCTCATCATGCAGGCACATTTGAGTTTCTGTTTACCATATTTTTTGAATGGGCCTGGACTGGCAATGGAGGTACAGAAATCTCTCGTTTCATTAAAAATATTTTCATTTATGTTTCAAAGATGAGAAATGATGAGACAAAAGTCTTACGAGTTTGCATTGACATGAGTAAATGATAGAACTACAATTTTTGTGTGAACTATCCCACAACACACACACACACACACACACAAACACACACGCGCGCGTTTACTTAGCTATCTAAATGGGGACATTCCATAGACGTAATGGTTTTTATACAGTGCAAACTGTATATTCAATCCCCTTACACTAACCCTACCCCTAAACCTTAACCTACCCATCAGACAAAACTTTCTGCATTTTTACATAAAAAAAACACAACCTTTAATTACTTTATTTTTATACAAGATTTACAAATAAGGATGCCCTTAAAGGGTGGTTTTTGAAGATTTTGTCAGGTTTTGGTCTCTTCTGGGTACAAATTTGTCCCCAAAATAGAGTTAAGTTGGTAGGTACATACACACACACACACACAGAATTTTTCTTTGCATTTAACCTCTGGTCTAGATTTTTTTTTTAGTCTAGCTTTCTAATAAACCTGGCATTGTATTTGTACACTATGAATATTGTTGGCTATATTACGAATTGCTTTTGTACCTCTATTGTAACTGGCTTTGGATAAATGCATAAATGTAAGTGTTATTAATTAATTGTAAAATTGAATTAATTCCCCTTAGTTTATTTACAGATAAAATTGAGATAATACTGACAGAAATTGTATCTTAACTCTTGTTTGTTATGCTTAAAAAGTTCTGTTCATGTTATAAAATGTTACAAATAAACATTAAAGAACATTAATTTGTGAGGAAGGACATTTTTAATAATACTATTGTAACCTTTAAATAATGTTCTAATAGTGAAAAGAAAACTGGCCATTTGAACGTTTTTAGAATATTACAAATAAACGTTCAGACTCGGAGAATGATATTTTTTGAGTAAATATAAGGTTATGAGAATATAGTGCTGAGATTGTTGTAACCTTTAAATTATATTGTTGTAATAACAAGAAAACGACATTTTAACCTTTTTAGAATATTACAAATAAATGTTCAGAGAACGTTGTATTTTGAGCACAAATAAGGTTAGTAGAATGTTGTACTCACTACATTTTTACCTTTAAATAACATTCTAATAACTCTACGTTTATAGTCTCATTGTGTTAATACTTGCAAAATAACTCAAACTTTCCAACTTGTAGATTTTAAATAGATTAAAAGAGTTATCATAAACTTAGTAGTGGTGATGTTGAAGTCTTGCGGCTGTGATGTCATTTGTTTATAGCCTAACTATAGCTTTTTTCTTCTGCTGATTGTATATAGGCTTCAAAATTCATAAAAGTTGTGTTAATTTATGAAGATCATCTTGATTAACAAATGTGTAGTAGGGACATTTTATGCATGGTATTGAAAAAACAAACAGTTTACAACACATTTAAGTAATTTCAGTAAGTGTTATTTCTTTTCACAGGCATTCATTATTCAAATGTTTTACTTTTCAGTCACAGTTGCATCTCTGAAATGCTCTCCACGGTCTCTGGTTCGCTCTCGCCGATCTGGGCATATTGGGCCATCACCGGTCATCGTATCACCTGATCCAGACCTCCTGATTCCCATTCGAACTTCAATACGCCGATATGTGGATGAGGAAGAAGAGCATATCAAATTCTCCACACTTGTAAAACAGTATGTCAGCCTGGCATCTTGCCTTTTGTTTTTGCATGGTATAGATACGAGCAGCTCAAAAATACTTAAAAATATTAGTAACACATTGCAATAAGCTTCAATTCATTAACATTAGTTAATGCATTAAGGTATTGTGAACTAACAATGAAAAACAAATGTTAAAGAATGTATTGCTCTAGGTTATGTTAATTAACCACAATACATTAAATGTTAATATATACAATGTTAAAAATCGTGTAGTATTTAAAGGTTTGGGGTTTGTAAGATTTACATTGAAGGTTGCATTTGAAGAAAAAGACAGTAAAACTGTAATATTGTAAAATATTATTGCGATTTAAAATAACAGTTTAGATTTTTGATCAAATTTCAAATGTAATTTATTCCTGCGATGGCAAAGCTGAATATTCAACATTACTCCACTTTTCAGTGTCACATGATCCTTCAGAAATCATTCTAATTTGCTGATTTGGTGCTCAAGAAGCATTTCTTATTAACAATGTTGACAACGGTTGTGCTGCTTAATATTTTTGTGGAAACTGTGCTAAATTTTTTTCAGGATTCTTTCTTTCATGAGGAAGTTCAAAAAGCATTTAAAAGTCTGGTAACACTTTACTTGAAGGGGTGTGCATAAGACTGACACGACACCTTCATAATCATGACATGACACATGTCATAAATATGAAGGAGGTTTCATGCATGTTTATGACAACTGTCATTAAGTGTCATTCGCTCAATTATGACATTTTTAATGCAAATATGACATTGTTTGAGATGTCTTTGTAATGACACCTTGACATAAACCAATACATCATAACCTGTCAGTGTCTTTGCCATGACAACTTGACATTACTAAGACAACACAACCTGTCATAAATATGACATAGCAGATTAATTATCAAACTTAAGAAACCACTGGGCTTTATGGGTTAACATTACATTAAACTGTCATGTGGTTGGTTTTGACAATGGCTGTCATGAGGCTGTAATGACAAATTCAATGTGTACCACTGTAGTTGAGGTCAAGAAAAATATTCATAACACAGTTATAATGCCTCATGACAGCCAATGTCAAAACCAACCACATGACAGTTTAATGTAATGTTAACCCATAAAGCTAAGTGCTTTCTTAAGTTTGATAATTAATCTGCTATGTCATGTTTATGACATATTTATGACAGGTTGTGTTGTCTTAGTAATGTCAAGTTGTCATAAAGACATCTCAAACAATGTCATATTTGCATTCAAAATGTCATAATTGAGCGAATGACACTTAATGACAGTTGTCATAAACATGCATGAAACCTCCTTCATATTCATGACATGTGTCGTGTCATGATTATGAAGGTGTCATGTCAGTCTTATGCACACCCCTTCAAGTAAAGTGTTACCAAAAGTCTTTACTGTCACTTTATAAATTATGACAAAATGTAATTTTTTTTGGGAGGATATTTGCTAAGTGTCCCTCTCTCTGACAGGGAGTCCTTGGAAACATCCTCAGAGTCTACAGAGTCAATGGGGTCATCCATTGGCAGAATGTACAGCAGCCTTGATGTCCCTTCTCGGAGAAAATACATTTTCTCTGATAAAATGCCCCGAAAGATCTCTTTGGATGAACAAGAGGACAGTCCCTCTTCCAAGATCTCACAGGACGAGATGGATGAGTCTTTGATGGTGAACACCTCAAGGAAAGTATCGCGAGAGGAATTGGACATCAATACTCTGTCAAGAAAGACATCTATAGATGAATTAGAGGCCTCCATGGACCCTCCTAGACAATTGACTAGAGGAGAAACTGAAGCTAGCTTTGATTCAAGGAAATTACAGCGGGATCTCCCTTTAGATTCCACAATGAGGTACTGCTCTTCTGAAAAGATGTCCCCAGTGGCGATCGGCATGGACAGTCAAAGACAGCGATCATTCAGAGACAGAAAAGATCACATGGACAGCATTTCTAGAGTTATACCAAAATCAGAGCTTGATTTAGATACCACGACTGGAACTAGATATTCAGATGCCTTAATGAACACTTCCATTAAACACAAAGAAAACCTGGACTTTCCACCCAACATCCAGCGAGGAAGAATAATTAGGGAAAATTCCTTTGATGCCACTTTTGATAGCTCAGTGGAAAGCTCCAAAAAATTTAAGATGTTAGGCAAAACCGATTTATCCAAAGACATCCTTTCACGAATAATGCCGCAAGATGAATATGATGTGTCCACGGATTTCGAAAGACTAAAAATGAGAGACATTGCCATGGACACTGCTTCAAGGACCATGATAAGAGATGAGTTTGAGAGAAGCAAGTCCTTTAAAGAGAACAGGGAGAGCCGCATGGAAATTCCCTCAAAAAAACTCTCGGAGCAAGAGTTTGTGATGGATACACAACGGATACAACGCAAGTTAGACGGCTCTGTGGAAACTCCCATTGGTAAAATACAGAGAGAGACTGTGGGTCTATCTGTGGAGTCTCCAAGGCGCAAGATATCACAGGAGGAATTTGTGGTTACAAACCCAGGACAGTTTGGTCCACCTGACCTCACCGCGAGCTCCTTGATGCTCCGGAAACCAGCCTCAGATTCGCTTAGCACGCTAGTGTACGACGGCATTCTAGAAAAGTCCTACGAGAACCCTCTCGTGGCTAGTTCTTGCGATCTCAGTCACGCAACTTCGATGTCTGGCTCTTCTCAAAGCCTTCTGGGAAATGAAGGTCAATCTGCAAATTCGTCTTCTTTGGAATCTGGGGGTAAAGACAAAGGCAAGAAGTCTTCTAAGCTCAAGAATTTGTTCAAGAAGAAAAAGGATAAGGAGAAAGATAAAGACTCATAAATGTCGACAGCAAGTTGGAATTTAGACACTTTTAAAAGGCCCGAGGTTCTCTAAATCTGCCTTAGAAACTATAACATAAGCAAAGCTAAACATGCTGAATGGAGTGGCCTTGGATTTTCTTGCAAAAGGTTTTTTCTTAAATATGGCATGCAGGAAGAAATTGAATCTTAGCATTTGAAATGGACCCTCAGCTCAATGGATACAATCTTGTGAAACAAAGGAGCAGAATTGCACTTGTCCAGCTTGGATTCAGTGATACTGTATTACAGAAGCTGTGTGAATGAGATATTAATTGAACATTTTTCTTTCTTTCTTCATGCGGTTGTGTTCATCATTTGAAATAACTTGCAATGACATGGAGGTGCATAATTCTTGCTCTGATGAACTGATGAGACTTTTGCATATTGACAGATCATTGTAGCATTGAAGAGACATTCACAACACGGTTAACTTAATTCTTATTTATTTGATTTACTTGTTTGCACAAAAATTCAGGGACAAAATTTAAGGCAGACAAAACAAACCCAAATAATTACTTAAGGATAATATACTGTGTTTACTAAAGGATGAGCTTAATCGACGTGTGTGCCAATGTGTTGGATTTAATACCAATGGAGCTTTAAATAACTATTTAATACAGACATACTGAATCCAATTTGGAGTTAGGCATCAAATAGAATTATATTCGATTTTTAAATATTTTCCTAGTTCTCATCACTCAAGTTAAAAAGTTGCATTTCATTGAAGGATATTTGTATTTATATTTGTCATCAAACACTGACAGTTCTTTTCCAGACTTTACTGACACTTTTGGCCGTACACAGATTTTGTGATGCAAGTATTTAAATTTTTCTCAAGTGTCGGTCTCATTTTAATGGAAGCTTGTTTCCGCCACAGAATAAAAAATAAAAACGGTAATTGTGACTTCTTATCACAATTCTGACTTTCTTTTCCCTCACAATTTTGAGTTTACATCTTGCATAATTGTGAGAATTGCGTGATATAAAGTGGCAATTGCGAGTTATTTTTCTCACAATTGTGAGTTTATATCTCGCAATTCTGACTTTATAACACACATTTGCAAGTTTATACAGTATCTCACAATTCTGAGAAATAAAGTCAGAATTTCGAGATGTAAACACAGTTGTGAGATAAAAAGTCGCAATTATCTTTTAAAATGTTTATTCTGTGGCGGAACCATAGATTTGACTAAAATATTTCAAATATTTGTGTGATCCTGCCCTTTTTCATTCTATATGTTGTTGTGCAAATATAAAGTATAAACCACATTTAAAATGAATGTAAATCAAAATGCTTAACCTTGCTGAAAATGTACATTTCAGGAGTGTACAGATATTTATAAACAGTCATAAATTACCCGACTGCCACAATAAATGCTTCAGAAGCTAAATCGGTGTCTGGATTTGCCCACATTTGCATGATTCAATACAGCAAATACATGTGAATAGATTAGACAATGACTATTACTGAACAATTAGATCTGAAACAATAGAAAATAAACAAGATTCACAGACACATGTAGGCCTATTTTTGTTTCGAAAGATGCTAATATGGTCTAATTTGAGTGTGAAATTTTTGACAACATCTACATTTTAAATTCATTTCTTAGTTGTCTAATGACTGCTGTATTGTTTTGAATGAGAAACCACTTTGGCAGCATTGTTTTTTTTTTAAGTGTCATGAAACCATAATTTCAGCAGGTTTTTTTAAGTGTCATGAACCTTTACCTAAATGTCATGTATACAAAAACAAACTATGGTTTGTTGTTCATAGGTCAGATGATTCTGACTAATCTAAGTAGTTCTCTATGTAGCCTAACATTGAGCTTCAGTGTGATTTAAACTCAGTAAGCCGTGTCTCTCGAAGGTTGCGTTTGCATAAAGGCTGCTTCATTTCAGTAAAGTAACCATTACATTCCAAAGTCATAAGGAAATTACAACAATTTGCACTTCACAAGGAATAACAATCAGTTTTATAATGGTTACTTCTCTAAAATAGCACATCCTTGATGACGTATGCATCTGACACGCGTGACCTCCGGAGGGACACAGCCTTTTAAATGAGACACAGCTATAGTCAAAAGTCTTCTGCTTTTCTCTAACTCATTTTAGAAATGTTTGATACTATCAAAAAGGGGGTTTCCAGTATGTTTTGATGATTTAGTACTTCTCACAGGTTCTTGTAAAGTGGTTAATCATGCTTTGATGTTATTTTTAACCACAAATGTTTCCAGTGTTAACTGTTTTCTTGAGAATTTGTCTGTTTAACTATCTTTGTGTGTTAATAGCATGGACGTATGGACGTTCATATTAGTTTAGACACGTAATCAACTGCATATTTGAGGTTACATTTTTAACCTACAGAAATATTTTTTTTCAAGTAAGCATGTCAAATGTAATCATGTGGAAACAGGAAAACCATAACCTTTAGATGATCATATTGTACCAGTGACTGCGCTTATTTGTTTAGACGACAAACAGGAAAGGAAAAATATGTGGTTAGACGCTGTTTATGTGGGGGAAAAATGACATCTTATCAGGCTTTGCAACAGCAATACACGTCACAAGCAAATATATTCTTATAAAATACACACAAAATATTCAGAGGCATTTACAGGCCAAAACAAATGTGACCTTTTTTGAAGAAAGAGGTGAATAAAGTACACAGTGTGTTAGATGTAACAGGATGTGACAATAGGTTTCCTGTTATGGCCTGCTTAAATGTGATACCTCTGATTATCTTCTAAAGGCTTTTATAATGACAGTTAAACCTCAACATTTTGTCGCCAGTTATATATCAACTCACCTTCGCTTAGACACGAACTGTATGGCACAATTGATCGGTGATGTGCTGAAAATAACAACATACTTGGTAAAAATGGTAAACATTATCACTTTATATTAGAATTAAGGTGCACTTTGACAATTTGACAATATCAAACTTTCTCTGAGTTTACAACCAGATTAGAAACAATGCATGCTATAATTAAAATATTTTGATAAAACCCTCAATGAAAGTCCCCCACCATGAAAGCTTTTTAGATGGGAAATCCCTCCCATCACAGTCAGCCAGGCGACATGCGCATTGAAGACCCTCGCTCTTATCTTATCAGTCACTGAGATGGAGCGAGCAAGAGTTACAGTCGTCATATTTGCGTGTAAGTTCATTTGTGTGTTTTTGAAATGTTATTTTGCACTATTTATAACGTAGTATTGATTTGATCGATAATCTTTTATTCGTTTATTTGCTTTTGCAGGTGTTTTGTTCTGTGAACACCAGAGTGTGTTTGGGACAGAAGTGGACATGAGAGTTAAAACAGGAGCCAGCATCACTCTCTACTCTGACTGTGACATTCCTCTTGGATCACACATTGTTTGGTTGAGAAACTGCTCACATGAGCATCAACCATTGCTGTTAATAGACTCTTCAAAACTGTTCCTGTGGACGTTTCCACGTTTCAGTTTTGTGCAAAACAGCTCCAGTAACTCCTATGATCTACATATAGAGAATGTCAGTGTCTCTGATGAGGGAATATATTACTGTGCAATAGATGAAAGAAAAGTAAATGATGTACATGGCGTCATAGGCTCACAGTACCAGTATGGAAACAGAAGAACTCATCTGTCTGTCTTGGGTAAGAAAATATTTCTACTTTTATGCTTGTCAATTTTGGTAAACTTTGCAGAAACTGTATAGGCCATATTTTTCTATACCTGTCAAAATGTTATGCTGAATTGTCATTTATAATGGAAATTTTTGCATGAAATTGAAAACATGCAAAATAGAAGAAAAATCACTTAAATCACACTTAAAAATCTCTAAATGTCAATGCCATAAAAAACATCAAGCAGCATCTGCAAATATATATATATATATATATATATATATATATATATATATATATATATATATATATATATATATATATATATATACAATTTTACAAATCAGCAGAATTTGAAACAACAATGTAGAATATATCACAGAAAACCAAAAATGTGGATTAAATATTTTACATCAAAATTCAACAGCAACGAACATTTGTAACTTTCTGTAACTGTAATCTGATGTTTTACAAAGTGTAAGCTATGTTCCACATAATATACTTTATTTTTTAAATGAATTAAGAATGATAGTTTCCCATCTGCTCCTGAATGATTTTGACCATACACTGTGACTAAATTAATTATCTTAATTTAATAAATAAAAATATATTATATTCACTTTTCACCACACAGAGGAATGGATTATCTGGATATGGTTTAAAATCAAAGACACATTTCACAGAACAGTTAAAGGGATAGTTCACCCAAAAATAAAAATTTCATTTACTCACCCTCAAGTTGTTCCAAACCTCTATGAATTTCTTTTTTCTGCTGAACACAAAAGAAGATATTTTGAAAAATGTCAATGACCAAACATTTGACTTCCATAGTATTTCCACCCTATACTATGGAAGTCAATGGAGACCTTTGGTTAAACCATATTCTTCAAAATATATTCTTTTGTGTGCAGCAGAAGAAAGAAATTCATAGAGGTTTGGAAAAACTTGAGGGTGAGTAAATGACAGAATTTTCATTTTTGGGTGAAGCATCCCTTTAATGCACGGTGGTATAATTAATTAGTATATTAATGTGAGGCAGTACAAATGTACTTACACAGGATAGGAACAATCGCAGGAAACATTTTTTTTTGTGTGTGCTTTATGTGGCAACATCTAAATTAACTGGTTTCATCCAAGTAAAAAAATATTTAATTGACTATATTAACTGGTAATTAATGATGTTTGATTCTTGGACGAATCATTCTTTTTAACGGGTAACCGGTCGAGTCGGTTCACAGCCAATAAGCAGTCCAGTCTATTTATTGAACCAATGAATTTTGGTTCAATAAATTAGCAAATCAAACCTGCAGGCTAAATTACAAAGTCAGATTTTCGGTCATGTTGCCCAACTTAAAAAGAACTGAAGGAGCCAGTTATCCTTGGAAAACTCTGACAGTTATAATCAGCTCATTTGGTTCTTTTTGAGTCGGTTCTTTTATTATTCGTTAATTTTGAACCGGTTCTTTGGTACAATAACCCGTCTGGACCATAGACTGTAAAAAAAGACGTGCTTATTGGCTCATTTGGTGCTGCCAAGGAGTGTGCGTGCTACTTCGGATATGCGTCTTGCATCATCAACCCTAAACTAAAATTTGATTTAGTTTGATTCTGTGAACCGAACGTTCACAGAATCAAACTAAACCGAACGTTCACAGAACCACTGCCAATAGATAAAAAAACATTGCTGTAAACGCGTAAGATATGCTGCATGAATAGACAGATCTAGGCA